TATTCCGGCCGATTTCAATACAAAAAAATCAATAGATGATTATCTTAAACAACTAAATGCAGATAAATGGGATGAAATATTTGAAAATGATTTTTATGAGGTAACATTAAAAACAGCAAACTCTTGGTAGCTATACTTTAAGGACAGGTACAGGTAAAGCGCAACCAGGGTCGATCTTTCACCCTAATAAAAATATGGTGTTTTAATGGTGTGTGGATGGGAAGCGGGGCGAAATGTATGATTTTCATTTTTTCCAAGAAAATAGCGAACATGTTCGCACGGGATTTAGGCTTGATAGCACTCGGCTTTCCTCTCCCCTCTGTTCAGACAGTTCTTAGTATGAGCGTCGTTGCAGTGTAGATCTATGGCAGAAAAAAACAGCTGTACTTAATCGTGACCAATTAACAAGTGATATGATTAAATTTTTCCATAAATGTATACCGGTCATATAATAAACCGACAATATAATATCTAATGGAAAACGGGGAAATCGGGTTCTGTAAAAATGTACTTAAATAATAGAAGTTTATATATGTTAGTATTTCTTCCACTTCTTTTACTTAACTTGTTTGATATAAATTAGAAAATTGTAAAGTGATTTCCTGATGATGCAAAATAAAATTTGCGAAACGTCGAAACTAAAGAAAAACGAAAGTTTTTATTCATATTAATTTGGAGTTTCACTCCTAAAATATGAAATTTAGAGCTGCTGTTAAACTTCTATTATTTATTCGAAAAATTCTGCTCATTAAAAGAACAAATTAAGGGTTCTGCACTGCCAAAGCGATAGTATTTCTCTTCAAAACAGAACCATTCCGAGCTCTCTATATTTCTGGTAGGGGATCCTTAACTTCAGTTTTATTTTTATTAAAATGCTGCGTTTGAATGGGAGCGGAGTGGGAAGTGTGATTTTCCTTTTTCTGAAGAAAATAGCGAAAATGCTTGAACTGAGTACAGGCTCGGTAGCACTCGTCTTCCTCTGCACCCCTCCTCCCCCTGTTTAGATAATCCTGTGCATGGACATCGCTGTAGTGGAGGTCCATGGCGGAAAAAAACAATTGCACTTAATCGTGACCAATTAGCAGATGATATGGTTGAATTTTTCTATAAACGAATTATAACGTATACCGGTCATATAATGAACCAACAACATGATATCGAACGGAAAACGCTTGAATCGTTTGCGATATCCTTATTTCAGATGAATCCCTATCGAATCGAAACAATCGAACGTGCGGAGATAGCAGAAGCGATGACTCGTGCTGTTCAACGTTCATCCAACGAATTAGCAAGTTATTTATATGACAAGTACGTATGTGCATTACAGCGAATATTAAATGGAATATGTTCAACATCAAACCTATTTCATACCAATCTAACGGAAGATAAATGCAAAATAGAAACAACAGCACTGATACTGCGTGTATCACGGCCAATTATAATTGCAACAATTCGCTGGCCCCACGTCTTTATCGATAATCGAATCGAAGCAGCAACTGAATTAACTCGTATAGCACCATCAATAATATTTGATCTCTGTGAAAACCAGTTATCAGCATTAACAACAACAACCACACCGATTATAGGACAACTACTTGCAAAAGTGTTAAACATTGATAGAAGTGGAGGTGGACTAGGAATGGCGGCTGGATCAGTTGGAATTATTTCTACCGTGGCAACAGCCTTGTCCCGCAGATTTGTATGAGATTCTTTTTAAACCATCAAACTTCAACCCACGCTCCCATATCAGATGAACTTCACACGCTAATCCTCCATTTGCCTGCGCAGTATGGGTCCATTTATAGAGCAATACCATCTGGTATTCCAGATTTTTATTGCTTTACAAGCTATTGGCGCCTTTTTTTGAATAAGTTAATTACACATTTATAGAAAACATGAAGAAAATGTTAACGCTTATGTTAACTTTCGCGATAGAAAACGTATAACACTCTTCGTTCTTATGTTTGTTCCAGAAGTCCCTGACATCGCTTAAATTTACCTTAGTTTGAATTCTGTAAAGCAAAAATAAGAAGCTTTCAAGAGAACTCTGCGAGTTTAACTCGTTTATTTCACTGAGACAATCAACTTTTGGAAAAAAAGGCGTCAACGCAACTAAACTGGGTTCTGCCAGTAGCAAAGGTTATGATCGGTTAGAAATGGTATGGATACCCGTTCTCCCACTCAACTTTTGCCACTGAGTTGAAAAGTTGTTTGGAGAGACCCGGTAACCTGTCTCAGATTTAAAAAAAGTCTTTTTTTGAAGGCTTGTACTTGCTCAAGGAATTTTAGCATAAACTCTACGAAACACTTTTCGATTTTGGATTTTGCATTAAACTGTAAGTGTAACGACCCATAGGAAGAAACAAAATTTTTTAATGAAATTACCATACAATAGAGTTTTCCTTGACTAGATGCACTGTACAAAACCACAAATAAACGCATTGTTGAGCTCGGGAATATTTCATCTGGTAGACAAATGTTTGCTTTTATCTCAGTTTTTCTACTAATTAATGTTACTAATGTTTTTGTAAGTAGAAACTTGTTTGAAAATTTTCTTGAAGTCCGGTTTTCCAGAGAATCTTTGGAAAATCAGGTCCGTTCTCAGAAAACTAACATATAAAGTTAGTAACTTTTTTGCATGCGTAACTAGTTCGGACGTTACTCTGTAAAATTATACAGGTACCAGCTCTCCTGCTATCGTCCCGGACAGAACTCGCATTGCCCAAGCGCGTGTCTATCGCCGAGCACACATCCCTGGGAATCCAACTTTTGGAAAAAAAGGCGTCAACGCAACTAAACTGGGTTCTGCCAGTAGCAAAGGTTATGATCAGTTAGAAATGGTATGAATACACACTTTGGGCTATCTAGCTACCGAGCTCATAGATCTTTGTCCGTAGAGTTTCGGAAAAGGGTTTTGCTTTTGAAAACATACGTTAAACTGTCGTCTTTCGATTGTTGAAGGTCGCAAGTCTCTATCTTTTATCGTTTCGAAGTTATTCGGAAAACAACCAAGTGCACTAAACTTTGGTGCCGATAGTGGGTATATCCGACTGTTGGTTTTTAACCAAAGTCTAATTCTTCTTACAGCAAGGTTCACAGTTCGCATCGCACTTATCTCCGAGCACACATCCCTGGGAATCTCGAAATGCCATGGAATATAGATAATCGACTACGCCGAGCACAGTGGCAACATTTCTTTTTGTGCAGAAATCAAAATAACGTCGCCAGAGGCATTTTGGGAAAAAACCGGGTTTTCGCCTGTTACCAGCAAGAATTAAAATCCTTATATCTTCTTACTTTTTTGACTCGATCAACAATACATGACGCCTTTTAAGTCTTTGCTGAACATTCTCTTCAGTCAGCAGGAGATTTGACCGAGATATCAGGATTTTGATTTTTGCTGATAACAGGCGAAAAGCCGGTTTTTTCACAAAAATGCCTCTGGCGACGTTAATTTCTACACTAAAAGAAATCACTGAAAAGAAAAACCACTGTGCTCGGGGTAGTCGATTATCTATATTCCATGGCATTTCGAGATTCCCAGGGATGTGTGCTCGGAGATAGACACGTGCTTGGGGAATGCGAGTTTTGTCCGGGGCGATAGCAGGAGAGCTGATATCTGTATAATTTTACAGAGTAACGTCCGAACTAGTTACGCATGCAAAAAAGTTACTAACTTTTTATGTTAGTTTTCTGAGAACGAAGCTGATTTCAAATCATTCAAGAAAAAGCTTCAACTTTCTTTGTCAGTCGCGCACTAAGATTGACCGTTCTAGAGAAGTACATACTTTTCAATGCCGAGTGGGCGTTTCGAGGGGGAAAAGGTGGCTCTGGGAGCTTTCGGGAAGCGCTGAAATGCTCAGCATCCGATGCTGAGCAATGCTTTCCAATGCAGATGCGATGCTCTCCGGTGCTAAGAAAGAAAAAAGTCGTCTTTTCCGCCCTAGAACGTTTCGTCTATTTTACACACCTAGTAACACACTTTTTTTTACAGTGTGTTAGTCCATTAGTCGATATTGTAAAACCCAATGTGGTTTTGCCCCCAAACAACCTGGCTTCTCCAGAAATGTTACTAAATTTATCGCCACGGATTGCTGTTGGTCCATTATCGAGGAAACAATACGTGAACTTATTTGTACTAGGTCTTACGCAATCGGGTATGTGATTCAGAGATGTTTTTGTAGTATACCCTGTAAATTCTCTCTTTTTTTCAGGTAAGTCATCGGTATTAAAATCATTGTGGAACATCCCAGTCGATAGAGATCCATCGGGTGGAAGAATTGAATTTTCATTACACCAAACAACGATCGATCACCTTGTTATTCGAGCATGCGATTTTCAAGGTGTCAATCACTTGCAAATTAAATACGAAGATATATTACAACGTTTATTAAACAACGGAATTTCTCGGCTGGATCGCATCATCATATGTTTTAAATACGAAGAAAATATTCAGCCTGATCCACACATCTATTTATTTATTCTGTTGAACTATTTAAAACTAATCGAAGTGAAAGGTGAAAATATCCTTTTAGCACTCACGTTCTGTGACCACTTCAAATCTCAAAACGATATCCAAGAGTATGTAGAACGAATGAAAACAAATCCGTTGGTTGGCGAATTGTTTCAGTATGCTACTAAAATTATACCAATAATAACAAAAGGGAATTTTAATTATCGTCAAATGATTATTGAACAATTATCAAATGAAAATGTTCAACCAATATCACTAGAGAAGGCAAATTACAAGAATGATTCTCAGGAAACATTTTCAACATTCATAACAGATGCATTAAATGAAGTACTCAGCGAATATCACAGAATTACCAATGATCCGAACGTGTCCTACATAGACGAGATATGGAAAAAATTACAATTATCAACAGAAAAGCAGAATACGTTCAAATTTGCAGCACAAATCGAGTGTTTAAAGATAAAACCAGCAGGTGAAGTCTTTTAACCAGTGTTGTACTGATTGCCGGCAAGATGCAGGACTCTGTCTTAGCTGAAATATTCCGGCTTTCTAGCACTAGCTGTTTTCGTTACATAGCTTTTTTGCTCTAGAAAACGCGCTTACTCAGACAATGTCGACCACTCCTGGCAGTAATTCTTCCAGCACTGGGAGCGAAACTGAAGGAATGTCAACAGTGGTATGTCTTGGTAATGTAGGTTGGGACGAATATTCAATACCCGATACAAATTTATCTATAAAAGTGTATACCGATCCATGTGTTTGTATCGCCTACTTAACGACAAATCAAAACCATAAAGTCTTTTTTATTATATCAGATTCATTCGACAAAAGTATTCTGGAGCTCGTACATAATCTTAAACAAGTCGTGGCCATTTATCAGTTTCAATGCAAAAGTGAAACGAGCCAAGAAATGTTAACTAAACATTATTTTAAACTCTCGAGTAACATTTTCGTAAACAAAAACGAACTTTTTCAACAGCTTCGATCGGACTTAACCAAAATGAGCCGATTAACACAACGAAGCGAGTTATTAATTAACACAAGAATTAATAACTCTACTAGAACTAAAAATTTTTCAACAAATACTTTTCATTGTACTATACCCGTAGTCGAAATATCAATCAGTTCACTAAACGAACAGCAAGCCACATTTGTTTGGTTTCAGCTTCTGACAGCGGTGTTGCTATATATACCTAAAATTACAGACAAACCTTATTCTAAAATGCTAGAAGAATGTCACCGTTATTATACGAGTGATTCTACAGCGGAGAAATATATTGATGAGTTTGCAAATGAGTATACAACTGATAAGGCGATTTGGTGGTATACGCGCCATGGTTTCTTAGCAAATCCATTGAACGAAGCTTTGCAAGAGGAAAATATGAGAACTACGCTACAGTTTCGTTATTTTATCGACGACGTTTACCAGCAATTGTTTAAATCATGTTCGTCTACAAACTACAAATACCCATTTACGGTCTATCGTGGACAATCAATGAATGCCGTGGAACTTGAGAATTTGAAAGCTAACGTAGGTGGGTTTATATCATTCAATACATTTTTTTCAACATCACTTTCTAGTCAATCAGTTATCTTGCCCGCTGGCGATGAATATTCCAGTTCGTTAAACGAGTCAGTTCTGTTTGAAATTGAAATTAAAACTATGAATGCCAATAAACCATTCGCTAATATTCATCAATTAAGTTATTGCCGAAAACAAGATGAAATATTATTTTGTATGGGCACAGTATTTCGAATCGACTACGTCGTTCAATTACTTAGTAGAATTTGGCATATAAAATTAACACTCAGTAATAAAGAAGTGTATGAAGTAGATGTGTTGATGAGTAGGGTGAAAAATGAATTCGATAAATCTCTAACAATTTACACGCTGGGGAGTTTCTGGAGAGAAAGACGCAAGTTTGATAAAGCTATTCATTATTGTGAATCATTACTTGAAGCATTTGATACAGATCAGATGGCAATGTCAATCATTAATAATAACCTTGGGCTCATCTATGAATCTATGAATATTGATGATAGAGCAATGAAGTATTTTGAGAAAGCAATAGAACTACATGGAGCTCCTAGCGGCAGTTATTCTAGCTCCTTTCAACCGCTTGAAGAAGCTGTTGACGTCATTTTAACACCTCCATCAAACAACAGTACATCTCTCGCTATGACTTACCATAATTTGGGGTGTGCGTTTCTAGAACAAAACAAGTTCGAGGAGGCTCTTAAAGCATTCGAAAGTAAGCTAGAATGTTTGCCTGACTATGAATCTGTCGAATTAGCTGATACTTTCAATAATATTGGGTGCTTATATTTTAGAAAACGTGAATATACCAATGCGTTAAAAAATTACGAAAAGGCTCTAGAGATCGCATTGAAAATTTTACCGAGCGATCATACATCGGTGAGAGAATATCTAACTAATATCTCAGTAGTGCTCAGAAGGAAAAAAATTAATAAGGATAAATAATCCTCAAAATTTTATTTCTAATATTATGTATTGTTTTACGTGTTGCTTTTATTCTATATTCTTCAGCCTGTGAATTCAATTCGTTTATTGCATATACAACTAAAGCATGCAAATGCGAATGAAGTTCTTAGTCTTTTTTTGATTTTTCTGTTTGGTTTTTGATGATAAATATGTTTATTCTGACAAAAGGAAGCTCTAGCATTTCGAAACGAACGTAATTTGTACTAACTTTATGATAAGAAAGAGAATTTTCACACAGTCGGTATTAGTCTTTAGATGTAATTCGTTTCTTGTGGTTATTCGTTTAAAATTGGCTATTTATTAATGAAACGATTGCAAATACCCATAGAAAGGTTTGTTCTAAAGCTATTGCATCATATTACTTATTCCGCTTGTCAACACTCCTTTGCTGTTTAGAGCGACTATATCCAAAAATGATATTGAGACACCTGAATTTATTGGTATATGGCTTGATTCGATATCTGAAGACAATAGTGCGACACATGTTGGATTAAAATCTATTTTTAATCATTTAGAACCATTTCAAGATATTTATCAATGCATTACTTATATAGCAACAACTAAAATCAAACAAATTTTTTTCATTGTATCAGCACGGTTAGCTAAAAAAATGATTTCTCTTATTTACAATAAACCCAAAATACAATTCATCTATATTTCTTGTGAAGATAAAGCTGAATTAGACGAATGGATAAACCAAACTTCTTATACGAAATTTCAAGATCGAGTTTATATTGATAAAAACCTTCTTTTTGAACAACTAGGAAAAGATCTTCCCTTGCCGAAACAGCAGTTATCAAATTCAACCGAAGAAGGACAAAGACCGCTAAATCTGTTTGAGCGTAAAGATAAAGATAGTTTAATAAGAAACCTTAGTAAAGACTCTGTTGCATTTATTCGGTATCAGCTAGTCATTGATATATTACTTCGTATGCCATTATCGGATGACGCTAAACACGTTATGTCAGAATATTGTCGAAGTTGTTACAAGGAGGAACATCCAGCACAAAAGCATATCAGTGAATTTGAAAACACATATGACATTGACGTACTAGGTGAAGCAATTAGTTGGTATACTCGTCCGTGTTTTTTAAACAACTTATTATCCAAGACCTTAAGCACACAAGATCCGGATGATCTATTCACATTTCGGTTTTTTATTTCGGCATTACATAAGGAGTTATATTTATTAAACTCCGGTAGAACTCAGTCGTTACCATCAAAACTTTATAGTGGTAAAGTGCTGTCAACAGACATTGTAGAGGATCTACAGAAAAACATTGAGGGACTTGTATCGATGAACGGATTTTTTTCTACAACTACCGAACCGAAAGTAAGCAACATATACGCAGGAACTAGCTGTTCGCTTCCGAAAGATCAGAAAAGCGTTGTATTCAATTTAAATATTAAAGACAGTGTTCTTACAAAGCCATTCGCCAACATTCGAAAATATAGTAAAATACAAGATGAAGATGAAATCCTGTTTTCGATAGGTACCGTATGGCGTATTCTAGATGTCAAGCTGATTGAAAACGAAGTATGGAATATAGAATTAGAATTAAGTAAAGAAGACAACGAACGTTGCATTGAACTATCAGAGTATTTGAAAAAACAAATTGGTGAAACACCAACCCTATTAACTCTAGGAAATTTTTTGTCTGCAATCGGTCAACGTGAAAAAGCTGAGAAATACTATATATTATTATTGAAGGAGCTACCCAAAGAGCATGAAGATATCGGAGTGATTTGTAATAATATTGGCGTTATACGCTATGAAAATAACGATTTTTGTGAAGCAGTAAATTGGTTTGATAAAGCACGAACATTTTTTGCGAGTATGAGTAGAACAAATCCTAACACTGATAATAAATTACATGGCGATATAGCCGACTATAATCAAGGTCTAGCATGTTCCACCACTAATAGTCCTCTTTCTTCAGCCACATCGTTAAAATATCACAATGAAACAATTGAATGTATAACTAAATCTTTACAAGCAGATCATTCATCGTCAGTTGCCATCATGATTAACAATAAAGGTCTGATTCTTTATAAACAAGGTGACTATACAATGGCATTAACCTGCTATTTTGATGCACTTAAAATTTTAAATGAAACTAATGTACGTTATCCGCCAGACATATCAGTGGTATATAATAATATTGGTGCGACGTATTTCAAAAAGGGTGAACACGATAAAGCATTAGAAAATTTTGATATTGCTATTAAGGTTGGCTTAGAATTATTACCATCGACAAACAAGTGGATTACTGAATACACGACTAATAAAGCCGCAGTGTTGACATATATTGACTTTATGTCTAAGCGTCCGCAACTGAATTCAGATAATGGAACAACCACAGGCTAATATTCTATAACTTTCGTAGACTTTTTAGTTTCTCATCGTTCATGGTAGTATAATGATCACGCACTTTATTTAAAAACAGCAAGGTTTCGACAAACGCTTCCTGCATTCTTCTTTTTCAAAGAGACACAATGTTGACAGGTGATAGTATCCGTACACCCAGTTTAAAGAATCACAAGTTATTAACAGGGTTTCCTGGGTGGGGGACGAAAGAAACATAGCCACGATGATCAGCGTGGTCGATTACCTATGATCCACATGGTTCTGAGTTTCCAAGACATGTCTGCAACGAGATAGGTGTGTCCTCGAAAAATGTCGGTACCTTCGGAACCAAAGGAGATGAAGGCCTGGGCCTTGCATAGTTTTGAAGAACAATTCTTTGGTTATCTACCGGTATTATATGAGATTGGATTTTATAACGTGGTTTGGGAACTGTAAGCTTTCGAGTTTTGCCTCGAATGGTACACCATGGTAAACCTGATCGGGAGCCCCAATGTTTTTTTTGTTTTTGCCCACTGGCCTTCTTTTTAAATTTCGATAATAGTTATTGTTGCTCGAAATCAACTACCAGAAAGACTATCAGCTATTTCTGGAACTCCAATCATCACTGTACCATTAGGTTATTTACAAGTCAAGAATGGTGTACGACCGTTTGGCATTTCATTTCTTTCACGTAAATGGAATGAAGGTGTACTATTACAGATGAAACATGCATATGAACGTGAAACACATGTTAGAAATCAAGTACGACCAAAATATGCAAACCTGATCGGGAGCCCTGATGTTTTCATAGGTTTACGTCCCCTGGTCCCCTCTCTCAAATGATAAAAACCGCAGCTCTCCACACGGTTGGAAATAATATTTTTCCAGGGGGTAGAGCTGAAACTACAAATAATATAAAAATGTATTATATACCAAATTAATGCTCATCTAAAATGGGATTGATGTGTACGACTGAGATTCCGTATGACGATTATTGACTGTAGAACTATGGAAGGTTCTATCGAGTGCGTCATAATGATTAAATTCTGGGTGTAGCGGTGCTTTGAGTAAAAGTCCCGTAACTTCAACAAAACAAACGCTTTTTCGATTGGGTTTGTTTTGTTTTGATCAGGAATGATCTATTACTAATTCTGAAATCAAAACGTCGATGAGGTTTTCCATTTCTTACTTCGGCACATTGCTGAAAATGAGGAAAAATTTTTGAAACTTAGTTCTCCAGCCCACCATCTGCTCTAAAAAACATTTTTCACAGGCCAGGGGAAACCGCATGTTCAGAAGTACAAAAAGAACTG